TCATATCACGATTCAAAAATCAATTTTTCCCCAAAATTCCTAACAAACACACTCTAATATTGATTGTTTGATTTGAATTAAAATCAGATTTTAATCGAAACCAAACAGATGCTAAATAATATGTAAAATTAAATAAATGATTTCAATCCATTTTTACTTTATAACACATCATCTACACTGGGTTGTAACCCAGTAAGACTACACAACATTACTCTTAAAATTACTTTCAGGCTTGACGAACATGCTGCAAATGGCAATCTGTTTTTCTTCTCTCTTTCTTTTGGGACATAGAATCTCTAATCTAAAATAGTTTTCGTCAATAAATTAAAACTTGAAAGTAATATCAACAACCATATGAAAGATAGTGATAAATCTCTCCTTCAAGCCAGTGAACCAATCAAAAGAGAAGGGAAATACAGAATAAATCCGTCTGATTCAGTGCAAATCTGGCCTACATTTTTTCATATTAAACAGGAAAATTTTTATATGCTTTCAGGATATTGGATCTAGAAAATGATCCACAAAAAAAAAAAGAAAAAAATTGAAAATATTAATTATGTACATGTCATCTGAAATCTCGAAACATATGCTGATGGACATGGATGGCATATTCGTCTTTGTGGCAGCCATCGTCGAAGTTCTGCGAATAGCTAACGGCATCGTATTTAAACGTTAAAGGTTTGGAGGATCCATAGAAGTTCTTGCTATCCTTCACCAGTTTCCTCAGCATTCTTCTCAATCTCCGGCTACGATTGCCGCTGTGATTTGTCGTGTCGATGCGAGAGTATTCTTCGTGCACCGGAACGCACGACGGCGACATACAGCCGGAGAAGTATGACGATTGCCAGTTCATAATATCGCCGCCCATTCCGCCGGATTTACCAACTTTCCGATTAGAAATTGAGTGGACAAAGCTCGGTTGCTTAGAAAGTGAGGAAAGATGTGTAGCTAGTCCTTGTTATTAATATTACATCTCTCCTGGGTGACATCCGCGGTGCATTGCGTGTCTATCCTTATTGTACTATTATGTGGGGGCTATTTTTGTCATTGCACTTTTCGTCAATAGGGATGGGTAGTGGGACGAGCTATCGTCGTTCGTCGACACACGAGCAATTAAGTGCCTGTTTGTCAATCATTATTGAGAAGAAAATGGTGTAATAAATAGTATTTTTTGGAAAATGTATGGTTGAAATTGAAAGAAACTTTATCGGTTTATGTGTAGAATATTTTATTATTTGAATATGTGGTAGATATTGATTACTGTAGAAAATAATTTTTTGAAAAATGGTAGACAAACATGGGCTAATATTTATTACTCAAATTCAAAAAAAAAAAAAAAAAAAATTT